TTTTTTTTTTTTTTTTGGTGTTTTGTGGCTCTAGAGACTAGACTGAGCAGTTATCCAATATTCAACTTTGATGGCTGTTTGGTTCAGTTGTTCTATTTGTTTTCTACTATGTAATTTTTTATTTTTTAATTCTTTTTTTTGGGTTAACATAAATCTAGGGTTTCGAAAAAAAAAAATATATGACTAATGTGTTCTGCATAGAAGTTTGATGTAACATGCCGCGAGTTATCCCTAGTGACTACTCGAGCTTAGGAGATGTACACTATGTCTTACTCCTAACGAGTTACTAAAACTACTAAGCAAGAAAACTTGGTGGGAGTGAAATACCCACTTGGGAAGGTGTCCAGCTATGGATTATTTAACGGAGTATAGTACTTTTAAATGTATTATGTTAATGTGTTCTCGAAAATAACATAGTAGAGTATTAGAGGCCCATTGATTGTGCCAATGAACACCTGAGAAAGTAATCCTCTTAACATCAAGCAGGCCGATTTTACAGTAAGTAATATGATAGGAAAGGTAGTTTGTCGGAAACATTTGCAAACCAAAAGAATCTTAAACTCTTGTTATGGGACGATTTGATATATAAAAAGAAAAACTTCACATGCGTACGTAAATGTTTGCTAATGCCTAATAGCAGAAGAACTAGAAATCTACGTAGAAACAAATCATCAAGACATAATAAATAAAATATATCTTTTTAGATTTACTAGAGCTTCTCCTGATTGAGAAACATAAGATGATACTTGCATAGCTATTGAAATGAATTTATCAGCAACAACAACTACTTACCCAGCCCTAGGATCCCTAACAATCCTCTGCAGCCGTTTAACAGTCTCGATATTGTGAGCAAAAACATCTAACCCTGACTGAACAAGAGTGGATACAGCCTCCAGGTCACCCCGGAAATCGGATGTTAAACACTCAACCATGATATCAGGCTTGAGCCTCTGTCAAAATAATTACATTGCATGTTAAACGCAATAGTTGATGTCAACTTCATCAAAAACGGAAATAAAAAATGTCACTCGTGTTCATATGACATTGCTAAGAAAACGATACTAGACTTATCCATGAGTATTATGTCAAATATATCAAAGTGCTAACGTGATGGGTGACAAAATATCTCTCAATCAAAGCTTAAGAAATCCAATTTCACAGAACTCAGAAATGAACCTTCATTGCTTTGACTGTCTCAGCAAAATGGCCACTTCCACCATCAGGTAGATCATCTCGGTCCACACTGGTCACAACAATATAATCCACACTGGAAAATGAAAAACCAACACACCATTAATACAAGCATGCGAACTCAATGAAAAACCAATGCACCATTAATACAAACACGCAAACTCAATGAAAAACCAATGCACCATTAATACAAACATGCAAACTCCCTGTAAAAGAAGCTTCTGTCACACCATATTCATTAGCCTAAAACCCTGTGGCACTAACTAGTCGAGGGGAGTTGACGCATTTCACTATAATATGAGTTACGATTTCGAATAGTTTCCGTATTAATCAACAAATGGCAAGAAAAATATAAGGATTTCTAAAAGGATGCTAAACACAATTATCCTTCCATAACAATAATAATATAACTACTACCCTAAATCTGAGTGAAGAAAATGGAAAAGTACCCCCAGCTGGCAACAGCCTCGGCGGTGTTGTGCGGCTCCATGGGATCAGGAGGCGCAGGGTTCCTGCTTGTCTTGACCGCACAAAACCGGCAGCCCCTCGTGCACGTGTCCCCGAGCACCATGATTGTGGCAGTGGCAATGCCGTCGGAGCCGCCGTTCCAGCATTCTCCAATGTTGGGGCACTGAGCTTCCTCGCAGACGGTGTTGAGCTTGAGCCTAGAGAGCGACTCCTTCACCTCCTCGTATTTTTTCCCCTGCGGCGCCTTCTGCCTTAGCCACCCGGGCTTCTTGACATTCGGGTCTCGGCCCGTGTGGGGGCCCAATCCGAGGGCCGGCGGCTTTGAATCTAGCTCGAGATTCGATCCGCAGTGAGCAATTAGAGAGTTGGGCTTCCTCGGCGGAGGTTTGAAGTTAGGAAAGGGCGATTGAGAAACCTTGGAAGTACATTGGTGGATCATCATTTTTTGTTCGAATTTTTCTGGTGGAGACGAATGGGTTCAATTTCGAGAGGAGCTGAAGTTGATTGTGTGCCGCCATTGGAATATCCGTCGCCCCATTACAGTATTTTTTTTTTTTTTAAGTAAGATATATCCATTAATTTTTGTAAATTAAAAAAAATTATTAAAAAATTGTTATAAATATATTAATATGGACATTACTAATAATAATTGGGCCTGAAGTCCATTAGTCAGTAGGATTAGGTTGTAGGGCTTTCCTCTTGTAAACCCTATAAAAGGGTGATTATACCGATGAATAAGAATATAGACTTTTCTGCTTCTCTTTTCTTGTTCTTTACTGCACATCTTTATGTTTGGTTGATTGATGGATGCTTGGTGAATATTGTGGACTCCAATTTACAACACGTTATCAGCACGTTCTAATCTCCGTTTATCATCATCATCAACGGCAAATCGGCGGCTCGGTTCTCCAATTGCCAACAAGCCGATTTTCTTCTGAATTGCCTGAAACTAGAAAAGGATTATCTCTTTCCTTCAAGGTACTTTTGATCCCTTTCGTGAATTGACATGCTTGATTGAGAATCCAATTATTTCGATCTATATACAAATCTATTGTATTGCGCCTGCGAACAATTAGATAACTGCCGCAATTAAATGTATTGTGTGTGAATTGTGTTCAACTGTATTCTTTGTGTTGAATTGTCATTTGCCCTGCAATTGAACTTTGGGAATTATTTGCTAAAACCTGAAAGTTTGTTTCTGGTAAATGTTGTCCTGTTTTTATTAATTGAATGGTTGATCAATTATTTACTGGTCTATGATTATAATATTTACTGATCATGTTGCCTTAAGTGGTTTGCAATTGGATTTGCATATGCTGGAATTATTTGGCAGACATGAAGTAATTGATGTTCTAATTGGATTAATATATAAACTTGGATGTGATTTATATTCTTTTTTATATATATACCTGTATGGTGTTCTTGAATTACTGCTTCAATTTAGTTGTGCTGCCTGAAGCCTGATTGTTTAGTTATTAATGTATTATATTATATGCGGCATGAATTATATTTTTTGAGGTTAATGATAGTTTAAATATAATAACCTCATAATAAAATATTAACAATAAACTATATTACAGTTATTATGTGTCTTGTCGATTGAGATATGTTACAATTTTGATACTCTCATAAAAACGCTATATATCATTCATGAAATCAATTTTTTTTTGTGATAATATAATTTTTTTTTTTGATAAAATTGTAGAATTTGACAATGACTGATATCACCAAAAGAGAATTTGCTGAGCTCGCCCTTGATGGAAGTAATTATTTGACTTGGGCCCTTGATGTTGAGATTCACCTGGCCTCATTTGATTTAAGTGCCACAATTGATTCTAAATCTCAGAGCACTCTCGCCCAGAAGGCGAAAGCATTGATTTTTCTTCGTCATCATCTCAATAAAGATCTGAAAAATGAATACCTCACCGAAAAAGAGCCCGCTAATCTTTGGAAATCCCTGAAAGAATCGGTTTGACCAACAAACGGCCATTATTCTCCCTCAAGCTCAATATGACTGGCTTAATATTCGGTTTCAGGACTTTAAATCCGTCACTGAATATAATTCGGCCCTACATCGTATTGTTTCCCAACTAAAACTCTGTAAGCAGAACATCACACAGCCGAGTTGCTTGAAAAGACTTTATCAACTTTTCATGCTAGTAACCTTGTACTCCAGCAGCAGTATAGGGCTAAAAACTATGCAACTCACTCTGAGTTGATATCGGCCTTGCTTGTGGCCAAAAAACACAATCAATTGTTGATGAAAAATCATAATGCTAGGCCTGTTGGAACTCAAGCTGTGCCTGAAGCACATGCGACTACTCACGGGCATCATAATGTACGAGGGAGAGGTCGAGGATACCATAACCAGCCACCCCGTGGTGGACGTGGTCGCAGTCGTGGTCGTGGACGCGGTCGTGGCCGTGTTTGGACTCGAGATGATGGGCGAGGTCATGGTGATAACGTCCCGGGAGGTCGTAGCGAGAACTTGAACATTGAGGTGGATCGTTCAAATCGACGCGATTCACATCCACAACCTAAAGAGCAGAAGCAGGTTTGCTTTCGATGTGGATGCGATAATCATTGGTCCCGCACATGTCGTACTCCACGGCATCTAGTTGAGGCCTATCAAAGAATGCTCAAGGATAAGAAAGGAAAGGCTCCTCAAGGTGAATCACATCATGCTAGTTTGCCTGAAGCAAATTTAGCTTTCAATGCTGATGATGATGATTTATTGAAGCTTGAGCTCGAGGACTATGGTGATGATTTGTGATTAATATGCTTTCTATCTTAGAACTGAATATTTTTATTTCGTGGTTTGTTTCTTGCTATTAGACATTTCTGATTTCTTTTGCTTCGCCAGACATTTGTGGTTTGTTTTCGCTATTGGTATGTTTTCAGATGTTATGTTTTGATTGGGACTTCATGATTGCTTTGTTTGCTTACAATGTTTTACTTTTCTTTTAGTGTACCACAACCATTCATTCGTTTGCATTATATGGAGAAAGAGGGCGTTTTATGTCTAGTCGACAGTGCTACTACGCATACTATCTTGAAAGATAGAAAATTTTTTCAAACTTTAAATGAAAAGAAAGGGAGTGTTTCTACAATTGCTCATGATAAAATCTTGATAGTAGGCTCCGGCAGAGCTTTACTTACTCTTCCTAAGGGTACCGAATTAATAATTAACAATGCGCTTTTGTACCCTGAATCACAAAGAACACTCCTTAGTTTTAAAGATATTCGATCTAATGGTTTTCATATTGAAACTAAGACTGAAAACAATATAGAGTATCTTCTAATGACTCATTCACAAGGAAGTCAAAAGAAAATTGTAGAAGAACTTCCCTCTTTCTCCTCAGGCTTGTACCATACATACATTCGACCTGTGGTTAATCATGTTGCATTGAGCTTAAAATTCAAAGACCCAAATTCATTTAAATTATGGCATGAGCGATTGGGTCATCCTGGGCTTAGTATGATGCGTCGGATTATTTCTAACTCTATTGGGCATAGCGTATCAAGCAGCAATCTCCCTTCTTTTAATGAATTTATTTGTGATGCTTGTGCAAAGGGAAAGTTAATATTGAGACCTTCACGTACTAAAGTTGGAATTGAATCTCCTACGTTCCTTCATAGGATTCAAGGTGATATATGTGGCCCTGTTCATCCCACTTCGGGACCTTTTCGATATTTTATGGTATTGATAGATGCTTCCACTCGATGGACATATGTGTGTTTATTGTCCACTAGAAATCAGGCTTTTCCGAAGCTCCTTGCTAAAATTATTGAATTAAGAGCTCAATTTCCTGATTATGAAATTAAAACTATCAGAATGGATAATGCCGGTGAATTTACTTCGAAAGCGTTTGATGATTACTGTAATATGCCGAGATATTATCAGTATAAATGGCGTTTAATTCCGATATAGTAACGTTATCGTTTATTATTTTCGGGATTAATTAAGTTCAGTCGGGATTACCGAAATTTATTTTCGACGTACCGTTTACGTTCGAAATAATTTTGGTAATTAAGTATTATGTTTAATTAAACAATTAAACATAAAGTAGGTGATTAATTATGATTAATCACATTTTTAAGGTCCATAAGCCGTGAGTTATATAGCAAATGCTCCAAATTAATCTATCTAAAGCCGTAAGTGTTGTATGGTTCCCAAACTTTTGTACCAAATTCCTAAGTCTTAAGAAATGTTTTTCCTCCCCATATTGAAGGCATGGTTACGTGGCAAGTGGAGGAAATGATGAGTCATCTCAAGATGCACTAAATTGAAGCAAGTGTTGAGTTTTAAGCTTAGCCACATCACGCCATCATTTCCCCCCATAAGCC